AAAATCGAACATTAATTTAATTCTAGAAAAAAAAACAAGTTTATCCTCTCCTTTCAGATTTCAGATTGATTTAACTCGTCTTTAATGATGTTAATCGCATCATTAACGTCGCACCTTGCTCCTTCCAACCTTATCCGTTACAGACTGGACTGCGATTGAAACCTTAACAAGTGAGAACTTCATTCCAGCAGGCATCTTCTTGGAAAATCAGCTAATCACATCTCAGCCTTAACTTTCCGTGTTTATGTTTTGTGTGTGTCGATTTATGATTTCCCTTTTCTACATTAAAGGAATCTTTAATTTCTTAAGCTAAACAAGCAAGGATCATATTGTTTTACTGTTAAGTAGTCCTAGTTTCTATTTTGGAAACAACTTTTGTTAAGGCAAGGATCTCTTAGAATTTGTCTGATGAAATAATAAATGGACTTATTACAGATCCTTCAGATACATTTCCATTTGAGAAACAAAACCAAAGCCTTTGCTAAAGCCTAAGTCTCGCGCTTTTTGTTTAGAACTAAAATTTGAAAGCAAACTTTCAATTTAGAAAATCTAACTTGGATTCCATTTATTTTGTTTTTTTTAGTGGCAAGCGCTTTTAGGGTTTCTTTGTTGTTAAACTTTTCTAACGAAACCTGATTTTTTGAAAGAATTGCTGCAAATCCAGCAATTTATCAAGAATGTGATATTTTATTCGTGAGGTTTTTAACAGATTTCAATAACAATAGTCTCGGAGTTTTGCCTATGTTGATGCTACACTCGAGCATCACAGAAATTCGCCTTTTTGTGCACTCTTTCATTTCACTTTGCAGAAGTCCTTAGAGCTAATTTTGGATTTTTCGTCTTTTTCCGTTTACTTTTCTCATCAGCTCAGGTGGTCCATCCAAGTTCACTTTGATAAGATATTTGTTCATATATTTCCTTTGACTTGTAAAGAGAAATTTCATCTTTTTTCGCCATACATAGAAAATTGACGTAATGACTTTTTATGCAATTCCAACTCTTCTTGTTTACTTTTGCTACAAGTTTTTGCATCCAACTATTTCACCCACAGATTTTTTTTCTCACTCAGGTTTGTTTCTCTTTTTCCACCTAGATTCAATTTATTCTTTAGAAGGTTTAGCTAATCACTTAGAAAATTATGCGATACATTTGAGCGTGAGTGATTTTAACTTTGCAATTTTCTCTCTTACCTAGAGCTTCCTATGAGAGTTCAGAAGAGAAGTTTTTGTTATGTTTTTCATCTCAATTTCCGAATTAGTTTTTATAAGCGCAGACCGCTTCCAATTCGCTTACTAGTAAATGTTGGTTTATAGGGATTCTCCCACTACCCGGCGTTTGTTCGTATTTCTGTCTCATCATACAAACTTCTCACTAATGCA